ACTAAAGAAAACAAACCTCCAGATTTAAAAGAGCCCACACAGCACAGAGCATGAGAAAAGGCCCATTCCAGGGTCCAACATTATAAAATTTCAAAATTCCAGGGCAAAAATGATTATGAAAACCTTCAGAAACAGAAAAGCAAATCATAGACCAAGTATTAGGAATCAGAATGGCATATGCTTTTTCAGTTGTGATATTAGAATCTTGAAGACAGTGCAGTAGCCTCTTAAAAATCCTGAATAAAATTTAATTTCAACATAGATTTTGATACCTAGCCAAACTATCAAGTGTATGCATAGAACAACAGCATTTTCAGCCATACAGATACTTAAAAATGTATTATTCATGTACCTTTTCTTATGAAAGTTACCTGGAGAGTATAATTCCACAGAAAAAGAGAGTAAACCTAAAAGCAGAATGACTTACAACCAGAAAACCGAGAACTCTAATAGGGATATGGGTAAGGATTGACCTAATACAGAGATCAACCAGGCCAGACATAAGGCACCAAGAAGGATATAGCAAGGAAAAAAATTTTAAGGGAACTGATTATTTATCTGATATGTTCCATTATTTGGAAAAATATTACTGGAGTATTTAACAGAACTCTTTGCTCATTTGTGTGTGGGAAGGGAGGAAGAGGGGAGGTGGTGGAGATGTCAGTTACCTAGAAAAATAAACTATTAAAAACTAGGCAATTAATTCCAGAAATAATAAACTATTGTACAGGGAAATTAATTTAAGCAAAATAATTCTTGTCTCTGTAGTGAAATATATTTCTACAGTCATAACAACGTAAATGAACTACTGACTACTGATTTAACTACAATTGTTCTATGGGAGGAGGAGGAGGGTACATTGGTTGGGTGGTATAAGAGAAGTAAATCATTACCTATTTTAACACAGGAAGTCAATAGGAAATGTCTAATACTGCAAAAATCAAGAAATAGCATTATAAGTATGTCATTTAAAAATGTGAAGATAAATATCAGAAGAGTAGATAAATAGTGTGTGCTTTTGAAAATTAGGCTTGGTCATCCCCCCCTTCTTTGTTATGAGCGTTTTGAGTACTATTTGATATAAATTAGTCCCATTACTTTGATTAGAAAATTTAATTAATAATAAAAATAAAGTTACATATGACCATGATTAAGAAGAAAACTTCCTACAATATAGATTATAAATGAACAGTAATGAGTCCACCTTTCTCCATATCCTGTCCTTGGTGCTGTTCTCCTGTTAGTTGTTCTGGTGATTATATTCATGACTTGAAGTGTATGTATTTTTGTTGTTGTTGTTAGTACTCACCCAAGGATATTTTTCTATTGATTTTTTAGATAAGAGTGGAAGGGAGGGAGGGAGGGAGAGGGAGGGAGAGGGAGAGAGGGAAAGAGAGAGAAACATCAATGTGAGAGAGACACATTGATTGGTTGCCTCCTGCACAACTTCAACCAGGTCTGGGAATCGAACCTACAACCCAGGTATTTGCCCTTGACCAGAATCAAACCCATGACACTTTGGTCCACAGGCCAATGCTCTAACCACTGAACAAAACTGGCCAGGGGAAGTGTATGTATTTTTTGGTAAAGTGTAAAACTATCTGGATTTGTGTTTGCCCAATTGGGCAAAAGATGACCTCATCAAACTGCACTGTGGACATTGCAGGTTAATGGTGTACTGTGAGAGTAATGTACAATTGGCCTATGACTGTTGTTGGTCTTTCATCCCTGGGTCACTACATACAGCCAAGGAAGCAGCCCTGACCTAGTTGGGTCAGGCAGAGGGTTATCCTGCCAGTAGGAGCATGGCATTTCTGGCAAGAGGTTCCTCTTCTACCCGCTGGAGTTGGTGCCATGGCAGATTCCCTAACTCAGGGAGTAGGTGTTGAGCCCTGGTCCAGCTGGTCAGATTATTGTTGATTTTGATTATCTGCACCAATAAGCTTTTTTTCTGGCACAGATAATCAGAAGCAGGCAATAAGTTCCCATCTTCCTAACAAAAACGCTTTTTGCATTTGGAAATTGTAATAAAGTTTTATTTAGTTTTCACCAAAATAGCGCTTTATAGGAAAATGTTATTGAATTTTAAATCAAGAACTTTTTAGTACTCAGTGATAACCATATATCCTGAGGCAGGGCATTTTGTTCTACTTATCTCGTATTAATGATTTAAACCATTAATATATCCTCGTTATAATAAGAAAAATACAGTTTTATTAAGCAAGAATCCAAGACCTTTCATGATGTGGTCTAATCTATCATCCTATGAGTTTATGTGTCCTTCCCGTTTTTCCCACTTTCTTGCCCATGCTAATATATTTCTAATCTTGCCTTTTAAAGCATAGATTTTCTCAAACACTCATTTGGTGTTTTTTAATAGTCTCTCTGTGTGTGTGTGTGTGTGTGTGTGTGTGTGTGTGTGTGTGTGTATCTTTGCTGTTCTTGAAAGGTAGAGAAGAAATCAGTAATAATAATGATGCCGACCATCTTTAATTCAGCTCTTACTTTGTGCTTGACACTCGTGAAGTACTCAGCATCTATCTGAATCTTCACAGTAGTTCTAGGAGGATCCTGCCTTTATCGCTCCCACTTTAGACTTAAGAAACTGCGTAACTTGTGCAAGGTCAGCGAGCTGGAAAATGCCAGAGCTGCGTCTGAAACATTGATTCGTGTTGCCTCTGGGGCCTGTTGTCTTAATCTCTGTTTGACTGGCTTCCAGTGCAGCCTCCGAGTTTTTATTACATGAAATTAAGAAGGCAGATGATGTAGACTCACAACCTAATTAGCAATGTAAGGCTACATATGTTGTTGTTGTTGTGTAGTGCTTCTAAAAACTGTTGCCTCTTTTCTTTTTAAGAAAGTTTGGAATTGTGTACCTTTTCTATTTCTGTCATTCTTTTTTGGACCCTCTCAATTCAAAATTCTGGAGTCATCGTTGACGTCTCCTGATCTCTCTCCTTTTACTTCCATATACTCACATGTTCTCTTTATACTTCTGTTTTAATATATATTTTTTAATATGTCTCTACTCCTTGTGTCTGGAATACTGCATCTGTCTGTGCTCTTTCAACTGACAATCTCGGCCATCTTAAAACCCATCATACGCATTAATTCATTTTTTTTTTAAACTCAGCTTTTCTCATATTGCATACCTGTTTAAACCATTAATATCTCGTCATTCTATAGAAGAATATACAGCTTTATTAATCTAAAATCCAGGACCTTTCATAATGTGGTCTAATCTATCAGCCTATGAGTTTATGTGCCCTTCCCTTCTTTCCCACGTTTTTGCCCATATTAATATATTTCTGATCAACCTTTTAAAGCATAGATTTTTCTCTAATACTCATTTTTTTATATGCTTTGTATCTTAACATTTTGTGTGTGTGTGTGTGTCTTATTTACACAACAGAACCATTAACCCCATGTGTAGAGATGGAAAGTGTCTGAGCCCAACATGGGGCAGTGTCTTGCGGATAATACTGTGTAAAAAATAATAATAATAATTAATTAATTTTTAAAGTTTTAAAGTCAATATATAATTTAAACTCTGTACTTCTTTGCTTTTGTTTCACAAATGTTAGACAAATAAAACTAAACAGATTTTTCTGTTATGTTTTTTTCATCTCTCTAATTATATTTAATTATAAATTGAACTATATTGGTACAACTTTAACAGTTTAAAATATTTAAAGAAACAAATAAGTTTTATTAGTATTCTAATCTGAAAGATATTGAAAATCTACTCCAACTGAAAGTGAAATACTCATTATCACATAGATTTTTAAAACTTAAAACAATACTTGAGAACTTTTAATAAGCTGTTTTATTATATTGTTGGTAATATTTGATTTTTGATGGGGATAATTTAATATTTATAGTGTAATAAATGCTAAAGAAAGAATGATTTGGTTTTTCTTGCCTGATGTATTAAATATAGTTGGAATTTGTTCTGAATACTGAGTAATGACATGAGGAAATTTGAAATTACTTAAATACTGTTTAAAACAATCTACTTAGGCATGATTTTAGGCATGGTTTTCTAAAAGAGGGTTGCATTTTTTGTATTAAAATTGCTTCTTGCTTTCTGCTGAATTTGAAAATGTTTCTACCCTTCTTTTTCTTGTTTTAATTGTATATGAATATTTATCTCTTTAAAAATTTTATAGGTGTTCTATAATAAATAAATATTTCTACTTTAATGTATAAATTATTTAAAACTATGTTCTATGTAAGGCACTTTTGCTTTGAAATATTTGAGTTTCAGCAAGATAAGGATGATTTCCTTCTCAGACCAAAAAATTAACCAACATAAATTTTCATATCTTTTAGATGTTCATATTTATTAATATGAGAGAGCTTTTGTTGTTGCCTTTTAATAATACAATCTTAATGTAATATTATTTTAGCTCAGAAATCTTATACTCTCTAAATGTTTCAAGGGTCTCATGCTGTATTTTTTCCTAAATTATTTTTTTGAAAATAATGTTGAGCATCATCATACCTTCTTTTACATCTCACGTTTTTCTAAACAGATATCTTAAATTAATTACCCTTTAATTTGGTTTGCAAAATATCCAAATAAAACCATAAATACATCTTTCAGAAGAGAACCACATATTTGATGTAAATCATGGAATGTGTCTGATGTAATCTCACAAACAAAAATGTTGCATTTTCAAAGCAGTGACATTTTAAATTAATATTATTTTTAAAGGGACTGAGCCTTAGAACAAAAGTGCAGATTATCCATTCTGACTACTCTCATTTAATCATTTCATTTTTAAAATTAGACTTCCCCTTACGATCCAAAAAAACCCTCACTAATGTGCATTTTTGGCTTTGTTAATTCCCTTTGTCATAAAATGGAAGCTAGCCTAAATTTTCTAATAATTTTTTTTATCACATTTAAATTCATGGCAAAAACAAAAATGAGGCAGTTTTGAATTCAAGTGCCTGTATTTTTTACGGATGCTTTTCTCCTCGCCTCTCTACCTAAGGAAATAGAGAAACTGACATTAGAACTGAGGGGGAGCGAGCAGCGCTTGGAACAGGAGCAGCAGAAGGCAGCCGGGGCCAGAGACGAGCTCCTGAAACTGACAGAGCGGCTGGGCGAAGCTGAGCACCAACTGCACCTCACCAGGTACCCCCTAATCCCGTTAGGCACCATAGCCCCCATTCCATCCCACTGATTTTTGCCACAGGCTTCCAAACAGTTGTTCGAGTTAGTCTTAGTCATTCCGTTCACACACAGCTTTCAGGCAGATTAAGAAACGTGGAGATGTGGTAAGCAAAACACCCAGACATGTGAATGATAAGTGTGGCAGGGAATTACTGATATATCACAAAACCTTTCATCTACAATGCTCAAATATTTAGGCGATTCTCAATCAATATAAGCAAAATGACATGTTTCTCCTACCACCACCTCTCTTGTTAATCCTCCGTCTAATAAAAACGTTGAGCTGAAGGATCTGAGGAATAGATTTCACGACTGATACTGTCAGTGGTGAAAGAGACAAAATAAAAGACACCCTGAGATGCAAATTGAGATGGAATTGTTACAAAATAAGGAACCTGAGTCTTGAGGAGGTGTACAATTTTGAGATGAAAATGATTGGCACTGTTCACGTTTAAACCACTGTTATAACCAGGCTTATACCACTGTGCTGTCGCAATATATTGTTTCTGTCCTGAGGTATTGTGATATGATCATCATTGTCATAAAACTTCAGTAAACATATAACTTAGCCCTAAATTACAATAAGGTGTTTTTGGTAGCCAACATCGTATAATTTGCTATATTGAAAACACACATTCATCCACAGAAATACAGCCAAGAAAAAAAACAAACTCAGATTGTAGACATTTCACATTATCCTGTAAGTGCTTTCTTCTCTCTTTCGGGTTTAGTATAATTTTTCAATTTTCAGGTCAAGCCTTTGGGTTTGTTCAGTTTTTGGAGTTTTTTAGTTTTTCGGGAGAACTTTGTCTAAATACACATGTAAATTTATGATAGTTGGTTTGGTTCATAATTTAGAAAAACATTGGTCTTCTAATCATAGTAATATGTTGAATTTAAACTATGAAAGGGGACTGATCCCTCTTACATTAAATATGAGAATGTAATTCCGAGCACGGTATGATAACAGATGGAGTAAAGCACCACTTGAACAGCCTGCTTTTTGAGAAAAAAATATTCTAGAGGTTGGTGAACCTCCCAAAGTTTTAGGCTAGTGTTAAGATGCCTCTAGTTCTGTTAAAATCAAACTTTGTTAAAAAAACAAAAAACATTTTATTATGATAATATTCCGGATGGTTTGCCAGCTTCCCTTTTATACAATGAAAGAAGGAGAGCGAGAGAGAGACAGAAAGAAAGAAAAAAAGTACATCATTTTTACATATGTGATGTCTGTAATAATTCCAATAGATAAAACATGTTTATGGGGGAAAAAATGTCTTAACAATGCAGTTCTTTTAATGCCAATTAAAGCATTGTCCTTGTAGAGCTGACTGTAACGTTAACATAGTTTCTGTGGTTATTTGATCACAGCAGTTTCGGAATTTACTTTCATCCTGGTAGTTCATAGTTTTCCTTCTCTGTCAGACTTCTATTGAGAACCAACCGCTTGTGTGCTCAGCACCACTAAGCACAGAAATAGGACAGCTTCGAATACCTCCGTGTGGCTGAGCTGCAGTAAATAAATATTAATGCTGGTTTTGTCCCCTTTGCCATTCTGTCTTGTTCCGAGAGTTAATTTCTGAAGTCCTGGTCCGTGGAGAGTTTTGCTGCGTGGTATCAATGCGGCCTGGCTGACAAGATCAGTTTCTCACAAGGAGAACATATTAAGATACAGCAAGTGCTGAAAGTGGACCAGTGATAACTAATTCTTTTGTTCTTAAGAAAAACGGTTCTGCTGGCTTCCGTGGAAAGCTTTTTCTATTGAGCTTTATTTACACCAAGTTGCAGAAATTTAACCCAGGTTTACAGTAAATAAAACGTAATTACCTGTTTTCTAAGTACAGTACTCTTTTGTACGCATTTTATACTTAGTCTATGTCCACGTTTTATAAAATCCATAAATGGCACTAAAAGGAACTGTGTATAGTTCTCTTTGGCACTGAAAATGTGACTTGGTTGTGTGATTATATATTTCTGATATACTTTTTGAGATTTTTTTTAGAGTTTGTTTCCCCTCATCATTCTTTATTGATTCAGTATACTCAAGTGTGTGGCTAGGAAACATGTTTTTGGGGTGTGTTGTTTTTTTTGTTTTTTTTCAGTATATACCAGCTAAAAGCAATAAATCCCACACAGGTATCTCTTCATTTAGTCTTAACTTAAACATTTTGAATCTCATACTCTAAACAAAGTTTAAAATTGAACCTGAAAACCATGTTATAAAGTAATTATGAAATAAGGATGCAAATCTTCCAAGGCAAAGAGAATTTGACAACTGGAGCAGGAATCTGTAGATCAATCTGAAAGGAAAAGAACCTGTCACTTTCTAGGCATTGCCCTTTCTTGTTTAACTGGACTTAAAAAAAAGAAAGAAATTCAACACTTACTGCAAGACCCAACTGGTAAGTATAACATTCACTTAATCAATAAATATTTATTGATCACCTACTATCTTTTAAATACATTGCTTAGCCCTTGGCATAGAGGAAAAAGACTCAGATCTCACCCTTAGGTTGCTCACACTCTATTAAGGATATATATATATATATATATATATATATATATATATATATATAAATATTTAGAATAGAGTGTGATAATAGTGCAATGATAGAAATAAAGATTGTCACAGGAGCACATAGTAAGGAGAATTGGCTCATTCTGCATTAGAAGTGAAGGTGACTGTCAGGAAAACTTCCTGGAGGAGGAGATGTTTGGTAATTATCTCGATTAATGAGTTCATGGATAGGAGTTCTCAAAGTGGAAAAAGGTGGGGTGCGTATCCCAGCTAGAAGCAACAATATATGCAAAGACAAAGATGGGACCGAGCATCAACTCTACAATCAGGTTAGATGTTTGGCAAGAGAGGAGCCTGGAAAAGGGGGTCAGGGACCTGAGGAAAAGCTACGTGGGCCATATTCTGGGGTTTTGGCCATTCTGAGAGTAATGGGTTACTCTTAAGCAGGGTTTCCAACATGATCAACTTTCGGGCTGGGATCCTGACTCAGACAGCAGCGTGGAGAGTGATCTTGGAGAGTTAGTGAGGAGACAAGAAGACCAGTTAGGACAGAGCCAGCAACCTCAGCCCAAATCTGGCCCATCATGTTTTTGTATGAACCCTGAGCTAAGAGTGGTTTTTCTACTTTTAAATGTTTGGGGGAGGGGGGCAGTAATATTCTGTGATATTTAAAAATTATGCATCCCTAAGTAAAGTTTTACTGGGCACAGCCTCCATCATGTTTTCTGTCGTTATATATGGTGCCACCACGGCAGCGCTGAGTGTGGTCCCCAAAGCCTAAAATATTTACAAACACTCAGGAGGCTGTTTAACTCAGGAAGTCAAGAGAGCCCAAACTATCGTGGGTTCAAGTGTGTGTTTTAAAAGGCAATAGAAAGGCGCTGTGAAAATCGATTGGTGGAGGAAGAGATGATTGGCAGGGACCCATTTAGAAAATAAGCACCATCATAGCCCTGGGTGTGGCTGTGCCAGTAAGATGGAAAGGAAATAGCATCTTCAGGAGGGGCTTGGGGTAGCGAATAAGAGAGGCCAGAATTAAAGGTGATTCGAAGTTTGTAGCCAGTGTAGCTGGATGATCCATTCCTCCAATGAGGGAGGCACAGAGGAAAAGAATACCTTTTATTTTGGAACTCAGGTGCAGATGTCCAGTGTAGATGTAGTGTGAGGAGAAAGGTCATGAATAGAGGTTTAGCTCTGGATGCTTTTAGGAAAACTATTAGCTGTAGCCAGAGGAGTAGTGAAAGCACCTAGAGAGGGCTGTGTTCTTAAAGTGCTGTGAAGGCCTGGCCGGTGTGGCTCAGTGGATTGAGCACCATCCCATGGACTGAGAGGTCCCGGTTCGATTCCCGGTCAGGGCACGTGCCTGGGTCGTGGGCTGGATCTCGGGGGGGGGGGAGGGGGACAGGAGGAGGCAGCTGATTGATGTTTCTATCTCTCTCTCCCTAAAAAATCAATAAAACATATTTTAAAAAATAAAAATAAATAAAGGGCTATGGAGAAGAGCTAAGGAGACTGAAATGGGGCCTCCAGAATATGAGAAACAACTAAAGCATGCTTCAGAGGACGCCTTGGTGAAATCATCAAAAGCATCACTTTTCTTAGGGGAGGCCCAGGGGTCCTAGGGTTGAGGACACTGAGTTTTAGGCTCTCCCCCAGGCGTTCACTGTCTCTGCAACTTTTGACAAATTACTTCATTCTTTGAACCTGCTTGCTTGCCTATACAATGGGCTGCATGGTTTCTAAATGTCCTTTCGCTCTGATAGGCAGTGATTCTACCAGTGGTTTAAGACAGTGTGCCATGCAGTTCCTACTCCCAGACGTTAGCTATTTCAGTTGCTTGGAGTGTCCTTTGTTGAAGATGCTTCCTTAGTCTGAACTTTAGGGAAATTTCATAGACATGTTCTTCGTACCCACCATTTACATTCATCATAATTTAGGCTGACCTCCATCAGGGTCATGAAAATAGTCTCTTAACAGTCTTCCGATCTGTTTGCCATCCGCTGCCGGGGAGTATTCGTAAGCACTGCCTCGACCCTGTCACCTGCTCTTGGAACCTCCTGTGGTGCCGTGCTGACTGTGCAGAAGCCAGGCCACTCAGCACTGTGGTCCCCGGGGGTCCCAGCCTTCCCGTGTGGCCTCACTGCCACCTTCTCATCTCTTCGTGCTGACTTCCAGCCAAACTTGAGCCGACACAGCCCTCTCGAACTTTCAGATTTTTCTCCCCTTTTATGTTCTCTGTGCCTAAGTACCCCTTTAACCTTCTCTAGCCCTGTTGTAACCTTACCTTCTTGTCCATTTCTCCCGAAATCCTGACTTTTCCACTATAGCCCTTTCTGATGACTCCTGCCCGAAGGGAGAAGGCACATCTCCCCCGAGTCCTCCTGCCCATTTAGAGCTGAAGGCACTTACTACATACTGGCTGGGTGGGTGGGTGGCTGGCTGG